CCGTACAAGTTTGATTGTGTAACCCGGAACCCCAGGTTCGACCGGTCTTGGATTGCAGAACAGGTTTGACCTGCAGGCCGAAGCCGCGAAATTATATCCCGTTATTTGTACCTAATTGCATGCTTGCGCCAAAGTTGCAAATGAAATTTAAGGCATCCTGTAACTATTGAATATGCCTATTTTACTAATTAAGATGAATGTAAGGCAAGTTGAATTTGCGTAAATGGCATGACTGTAGGTACGTCACTGTTACTGCTCATATGTACTTGATGGTATGTACCCAAATATGCGCATTCTTCCCGCTCAGCCAGCACTTACATTGCCCCCGCGAGTTGAGTACCAAACACTGGCCATTGAGCGTTTTCGGTGTGGCTACGTGGGTGGCCCGGCACGTGCATGGGAATTTGAGCTGGAAAATACTGACCAAGGACCATGCACCGTGACTCGTGTCACGTCCGGTCAAACAGTCACGTGTGTGGTGATGCGCAATGTGACAGGGAGAATGCATACAATTCGTTCGGACCCACGCTGCTCACACAACAAGTTTTGAAAGTCCGCATTCCGCAGAGATACAGATCACATAGGCCTAATGAAATTAGCGATATGTAAAACAGTGTTCGCCACGGGCCCCAAAATCCCCAGCCCAGCCCGGCCCGGGCCCATGGGTTCAGAGCCCGGCCCAGCCCGTAGCCCGCTCTTGGCAAATATGTCCAAGCCCAGCCCGGCCCGGCCCGTCAAAAAAAGCAATCTAGTTATTGTCTTAGTCTATTGCTATAATAAGCATGATTGATTATGTACACTATTTTGAGAACAATTCAAATTGCATGAATATTAACATGGCAATCATGACTCCCTTCTTTTCAATGAATATAATCATTTCAAGTACCTATGGCACAAATTTTAACAGTAACAGCAAGCACCTCAGTCAATTAGGTCCATGATTTACCTATAAAAAGTTTACCTATAAAAAAGTTTACATGATTATATTAACTGCATTCTATGAGTAAAGTTATCTTGCAAGCTGATGTGTGTGAACATTATCATGCATAATTGGTGACTCTAATGCATACCTACTTGAAGGAAGTATTTGCAACTTACTCTATACTTCCCAGCACTTACCAGCAGAAAAAAGCTTGAATTATGGGAATTGATGAATTTGTCTGGGATTGACCTTGCTGTTAAATTCACTCCATTGATGCTGCAATATCAAAAGCCTGAGAAAGCATACAAAATAGGTGACACTAGCTTTAGCACTGTCTTCCAAAAAAGAGAAAATCCATCCATTTATCAGCAAAACTGATTTAATCTATTTTCAATTCATGCCCACGTGTCAACCGAATCTCTGTGGACAACTATCTGCTGCTTTCCTTGCATTTTATGTTAGGCTCTTTTCAAGATATGGATATCGCTAGCAGCGTAAGCAGAAAACATTGTTAGCTTGAAATGTCATTGGGTTCTTTTGCGACTTTTACGCATCATCATCATCAATTGAAAATGAGCGAACACTTCTTGATTGTCGCAGCTACGGCAGGTAGCGATTCTGACCAATTTTATAATAAAACATATATGATCAAGTTTTTATTTTGTTTTTCGTTCGAGTTTTCAGACTTCCTGATTTAGGTTTTATTTTTTATTTGTTTAATTTTGTTTTTCACCTTGATACTTACTTAAAAAACGTATTTATTTGATATACTGTTGTGTATACTTCCTAGATGCCGCCACATAAACAAAGCGCCATGATCGCAAATGTTGTTGAGAAGATGCTGGTTTGTTGTGATTTATTTGGACAAATTTATGGACATTTAAAGAAGCTTTCATCGCGAAATACTCTGTAGAATTCTTCGTTACTTACAGTGTGTTTCGTGAGTATCCTTTTAAGGTTGTGTTCGTTAAAAAGCCGTCGGTGAAGGAAAAAAGACTGTGTTGGAATTGTCTCACTATCGCCATATATAAGTGTTTAACTTAATGTAGCCCTGTAGCCCATCATTGTTGAGTGGCTTCTTAGTTTTTGGAGTTGTAGTGCTAAGTAAGTTATTCTGATAACTACATTTTAACTTTTATTAACAAACTAATGATGCTAGAGATTCTCTGATCTTTTTGGTTGCGGAATTTTTATGAAACCCTCCTATGTGTGACATGATGTGATATTGGATAATTCTCAAGATTCCCAAAATTCAATATCAAGTAGGTTTTCTTTCACATTGCTTAAATTTGGTTTAGTTTTAGTATTTTCCCAGTGGGTTTTGTTTGCATCAGTTTCCAAATTTTCTTAAATTGACAGTCGCAAAACCCATAGTCCACAAAGCTCTTGGCCCGGCCCGTCCATAGCCCGTTAACTAATGATATTTGGGGGCCCGGCCCAGCCCGTAGCCCAGCCCGGCCCATGGCCCGTTGGGCTGGCCCGGCCCGTGGCGAACACTGATGTAAAAATCGGATAAGATGCCCGATCATAATACAGGTGGCCAGAATTAAGAAGTGAATCCTGCAGAGTAAGCCCAGTTGTAGCATATAACGCTATATACTCAAGTACGCTGCCAGCGCAGCAATACTTATACCTACATTACAAAATTTCATTATCCAATTACCATTGAACGGTACAACTCCCCAATTACCGTACCGGAGCGTCAGTCTCTCTTTTGTAAAAAAAAACCTTAGGTGATTATGTCCTGGGTCGTCTCTTACTGATTGGCTTCCTGCGATTTCTCTTCTTCGAATAACTGAATAATCCACGTGCACAGATGTGACCGAAGGTGCAGCGTCACTAAGCTACTCAGATTCCCAGAATACGAGTATTTATAGTTGCAGTGCAAGTCTACCACGCATGCAATGCTGAGTTGACTGTGTACTAGCGAGACGCTTTTATTTCGCGGTGTGTCATTATTTCGCATGTTTTCGCCTCGGTCAGCCGTGTACAAATGTATGCGTTTCAAGTTGCATCTATTCGTCGGCACACAGAAATGCCCGTCAAGAGAATGCGCAACCCGCAACGTCGTTTTTATACTCAGCTATAGTTCTCAACTAAACTCCGTCCGGCACCTAACTGCACTGCTGTGTTTATTATCATCCACTGTGTTGTATTCTCCGAAGACTGCGTGCGGGCGACTGCCGCCATCCCCCCGTCCCCCTCCCCCCCCCCCCCCCCCGGTCGGCCCGGTTTCACAGTTAGATGCGCAGTGCATCAACACGTCCCCCCGTCCCCCTCCCCCTATTTGTCGTCACGGCCGCTGATTGACGTCATCACGGACGGAGGTCCTCAAACTGTGCAGACAACAGCTGCAGAGGCTCACAAACATAATGGCAACCGAGGCAGTGGGGAACTGGATGTGGCCACTGGCCACTGGGGGCCAAATATAAATGTTTGGGTTAAAACAACGAATTTTTGCAACTAAGGCTCACTGCGGGAACTTCAAATTCTGGGCCATACGAGAAACCTACGTGATTCCTTTTAACAGTGTACTAACGCATCAACTGAAAATGCATCGATGCATTTACCTCATGTCCTCTAAACGCGTCATAAGCGTCACATGAAAGGTCGCATGTGACGAAAAAACGCTTAAATCCACATGGGCTAAGACAACGGACCCATAACGTTAGTGGGCTTGATCAGTGGTATAAATCTTGGGAAACAGCGCCAAGACCAAAAATACAAATACGGCAATCACAAGGACATCACAGTTAAATCGTTCCAAGCGACTAGACGAACGTCACACATTTCTTTGTGCTGCCTGGACATTGGGCTGGCCAACGTCCTTGTTGGCTAATCCTTGGAGGCCAGATAATCGCCCCTGGAGCGGCGCGTCAAAGGACATCGTCCACAGCGCTGACCGCAGGTCTCACACCGTAGCAGAAATATGATGGGCGAGGGCTGACGATCGGTAGCGTAGATAGTCTGTAAGCTGCCGGACACCGAACGCTTCAGCGGGAAAAAGTGAACTTAATGCCAGTCAGTAGCCGATCTTTCTGCCAGAGCTGAGCAGTTTTGTCCCTTCCCTCACGAAAAGGATCAAAACATACAGACGACTGGTTCATCCCACACCAATTCATAGACATCTGCTCAATGTTTTACATACAATCTAGGTATACCTTCAATGACCCGCCCTCATCCTATCGAGTATCGACACACCTCCATTCCCACCCCCCCAGTCTGGCCGCCCTCGTGTCCCTCGTCAGGTATTCGGGGCATGTGGCGGCATTACTGGGCGTGACAGGTGTATCTTTTGGCAGCTGTTGAACCCCTCCCCTACTATTTCTTATAGCTCATCTACTCTCTCTCTCTCTCTCTCTCTCTCTCTCTCTCTCTCTCTCTCTCTCTCTCTCTCATCCTAAACATTTCGCTTTTACCCCACACCTTTACAGCTCCGTTGCTTCTAAAGATTACTATATGTGCGAAATATGAGGCCGCGACATATTTTATGCTGTATAGTATGTGGTAAGAGATCGTGCGGACTGTGGGTGCCGGTTGAGGTCTTGCATATCAGGACTTATATAGCCACCACTTTCTATCACCTTCTACTGACTGCTCCCCCTCGGAATATTTCCGATAACAGATCAGCATAATGCATATCATCGAATCATGCAGGTACGAACGCGGGATGCCCGCACGTCAGCAGTGATTAGGAGAGGAGGGACATCCCAACCGGTTGGACGGCCGGCTAGTGGCCAATTTGCGGTCTGGTGTTTATGGCTTGGCTGCTCGCCGGGCAAACCGGCCGCTCGTTACAGCCGGAGTTGGTTGGACCCGGGCGAATAGCGCGATCCCTTCCTCAGCCTGACAGCAAGCGCCCAGCTGTGCCTGTGGCAGTGTGGCGTATACTGGTAGGTGACGGAGGTGTTCACTGGGCGCCGGCCCATCTCAGTGACCGGTGTCCAAACCAGTGACCAGTGATCGGTGAAAGTGCGACGTTTGTGGGCGCCACCTTTCGCAACGCAGCGCTGTGGCGGAAGCCGAGCGCCGGGCTCCGGGCGGCGGCGGGCGGCGGACGGCTGTAGGGCGGCCGAGCGCCGCGGCGGGGCGGCGGCTGCGGCGGCTGCGGCGGCGACCTGCGAGTACCGCCTCTGTCGGGCCGTGGCGGCGCGCCGTCCGACCGGCCTCCAGTGCTATCGTGCGGCCAGCAGGCACGGACGCGGCGGCGGCGGCGGACCGGCGCTCGTGACGCGACGCGAGGCGATTCCGAGCTGCGAGCGGGCGTGAGCTGCGGATCAGCTGTGCGCTGAGCGAGTGACTCGCAGTGCTGACAAGTGTTGTCGGTGAGTCGAGCGCTGACGTGTGTTTGTGTGTACTTCTGGGTGTGGGGCAAGCGAGTGAGTGGGCGGACGGGCCCGCAGCGCGTTCTATAGCGAGGGCTGTGATTGACGGAAAATGGAGCGGAAGCAGGCCGGCCGGCCCCACGGCTGACGAGGCCAGCGTTCGCCGAGCCAGCTGACGGTCATATCCGGCGCCGACTTATCGGCTGACAGCAGCACCCGGAGCTGACCGGCCTCGCCAGTGACTGCGTGCACCCACCGACCTTTGACGGCCCGTCCGAGCCGCCCAGCAGGGCACGTCACTCGCCGACCACGCCTGCGCCCCGTCAGCCGGCGCGGCCCGGCGCGCGGCGGCCCAAAACTCGGCCGCCGGCCACGCACCATGACCGGTCGGCCTCGCGGCCAGCTGGGCTGCTGTCTGGGCGCCGGCTGGCCACCTCCGACCGCCGGCCGACACGGCACGTGCTGCGACTCGGCCAGCTCGACGGCTGCGGCGGCGGCGGCGCGGCTGCGCCTGCACAGTCTGGTGCCGAACGGGTCCCGCTGGCGCTCCTCAGAGGACCTGAGCGGCCGCCGGCCGGTCCGCCAGTCGCGGCTCAGTCTGATGCGGTGTGGCGGCGGCGGCAGCGCGGACGAGTCCTCCGCCGTGACAGTGACGCGCTCGGCGCAGCAGCGACGTGCGGCGTTCTCGGCGAGACGTGACGAGTCCGTGGCCATGGAGGCGCCGCTGGTGGCGTGCCTGCTGGACCGCACGCCGTCCGTGGTGGTCAGTGACTACAGCCACACGAACAGTACCGATGACGGTGGCGGTCCTGAGGAGTGGAGCGCCCTCGGTGGTCCGTTCCCCGGCCGGAGACTCTCCAACTGTTCCTCATGTAGCTGCAGCACGGTCAGCTCGTGCGGCCGCGGCCTCAGCCAGCGTGGCTCCCTGCTCGATCTCGAGGCCGAGGGCCTGGTGCAGTGTGGCGACGGGCGGCTCGAGCGCGCCCGCTCGCCGGACCTGGGTCGTCGCGAGCGACGCACGTTCGAGCGTCAGGGCTCGCTGGAGATGGACTGCGGCGGGGCGCTGTCGCCCTGGCAGCGCTCGCTGGACCTAGAGTGGAGCCAGCAAACCCTCCACCCGGCGTGGACAGCCTCCCTCGAGCCGTGGCGCCGCTCGCTCGAGCCCCCCTCCTGGCATCGCCCATGGCGCCTCGGTCGACAGCGCTCGCTCGACCTTGACCTGGATGCGCCCGAGGCGCCGGCGCCGTCAGCCAATCAGAGGCAAGACGCGTCCGATCTGACCAATCAGCGGCTAGGTCTTTCGACGGCAGCCAATCAGCGGTCCGACCTGGATCAGGTCAGCCGAGGTCAGACTCTGACGGTGGCGCCCGAGCCTCCGGCGGCTGACCCGACCCGAAAGGTGTCGGATTGCTCATGCAGCAGTGTGAGTACCATCAGTCAGGAAGACGAGGACGAGATTCGCTCCACGTGCACCGTCGAAGAGGTCACCTCGCACCACTCAAAGGTAAGCCCACATCAGGGAATAATTCGCATGCAACGCTACACGCTGCAGAAGCTAGGAGAAGCTACAACGAAGGGTGCAGCGACAGTTAATGTAGGAATGTAACTCGTGGGTGCTCGGACTTGGGAGGACTCCCTTGAAACGAGCGTGCTTCCAACTTTTAATTGCGTTATATAATTTGTATGCAGTAAAAACAAGCCATGTTGGAACTGCGAGTGATTCATTTGACAATAATGCGCTTTCAAAATGGTCAAACAACTGGCGAATAGGAAAGACAGTGACGCACTGTCAAGCTTGATATGTGGCAAATAACCTTTCAATTCAATAATAACTCATTTCAAAGGCGCAGACGTCAAATCAGCAAATAACAAGGATACCTATGAGCAATATAAAACTATAACATAATATTTTCCTCAAAGTTTAGCTGTCAACTGTCTTACTTGTAACTGTTTCATCCTTACTTCTTTTTCAACTAGACTGCATTCACAAGACTTAAATCCCACGATTCAAAGTTGTCTTATCTCTCAGTAGCTGAGTGGTTGTGTCGTTGTGACGGCACCGTTTTCCTCTTCGAGGAAAGGTTGAATGCGACACCTGACCGCAAGTAGCAGCACGTCTCTGTGCAGCAGTCAATTTTCCGACGCAGTACGGCCGGCTTAGCAGTCCATTCAGCAGTCAATCCGTCCGGATTAGGGTCAGATTCATGGCCAGTCGGGTCTGTTAGGGGTGTGTGGGAGGTGCCACTGAGGCCCACCCTGCCCTGGGGATTCCGGGGTTTGGGGAATGCGGCGGCATTCGCACCTGCGGCGACCACCTGCGTAATGAAATGGGACCGGATGGCGGGATAACGGGATGTGTTGTATTTACGTACGTCACTGGGGCACAGAGCACGACATTAGATGGATACAACGGCTCATGACAGAACGGCAGAGCTTTAAACCTGTCGGGAAATAGTGACCTACAAAACATGCCTTTATGTTCCCAAATGTTGACATACCATAAATGTTACACTACAATGCTCTTGAATAATGGACTTCTCTGTTACTTCATCCATGAACATCTCTGGTTATTTTCCTCTCCAGTGTTTGTCTTTCCCGCCACACCGGATCGTTTCTGGTATGGCTGCGGTCGCTCTGGTGGTCAGAATGGGATGAAGGCGGTTTCAGGCCGAGGACCCAGGTGGTCGGCGGTCTGTGACAAATAAATCACCACGATTTCCTCGTGTCACGTCCCACATGACGAAGATGAAGCGCCTCGTCTGCTGGTGGCGATCTCACCATCGTTTACGGCTCGCTTCCTATTACCGCCAGACGGTCCTCATCACAGACTCTCTGAACAGCGCCAACCCACCAGGGATCCTCTCGCCGACACGCCGAACACACCCTCAGTAACGAGCCGGAGACGCCCGAACGACACCCAACACACCCCACGCCTCCAGCGCCCGACACGAAGCGCGCCAGTCCCCGACATTGGCCTGCAGAACAATGAATTTCCTCCTTCGCGACGGCCGTAGTCTTCTCCCGTCGCTGGCAACTACCTGAGCGCATGCGAGCCAGCACCGCCCCGCTCGTTCGGGGAGGAGAAATACCGTGGTCGTAAAGCTCTGGCGAACGGCCTCGCGCGCCGGTATGCTCCGGTCGTGGGCCCGATAACCCCACGGAGGGGTGCTGTTGTCGCCCAATTACTGGCTGAGAGGTCCGTATCAGCCATCATCGATGAGGCATAGCGCATTCATTCGGGCCAATTGAGACGTGTGCATGGAAAGGTATTGCCGAAACGGGCTCTCATACGTGTGAGAAACAACTTACTCGCATTTTTCCATTGCGCCTTGAAACATTTATTTCCCCAGAATTCCAACAATTTTATTTATCATGAAATTTATATCTGCATGTGTAAGCAATTCTGCTATTATATAAGAGTAATCAAGTGTGCTTAACTATCGAATAGGACTTGTGATGGACAAAAATTTGCATTTTGAGCTGTTGTAAGTATGTATGTACATGTGATTGCATTTATTTTGCACCTGTTCCCTGCTGCCTGCTATGGTCCAGAACATCCTCATTTTACAGATGCTCAAAGCCTGAGGCAACAGCCTCAGTGAAATGAATGAGCCCAGCGCGCGTGTTCAAAGAGCCCGCACATTTATCACGATCGTATACGGGGAAATATGATTTAGTACTTGTCTTTGCCTTTTAGTGAATTTTACGAGCATATAAATATGCCCGTATTGGCTATTGCACTATAATATTGTTGATATGGTACTACGTCATGCCTTAATTCCTTTTTATTTTTGTCGTATCGGATGAACCGTATGAACTTGTAAAACGCAGCCCTTGAGGGACAGAAAGGCATTATTGTGATATACTGGAGTGATAACTTCACGCGGATAACCATTACCGTAGAAATTCAGAGCTATTTATGAAGCGAATAAGTCAAGTTTTTCGTGCAATGATGAACCTCCAGCAGACGTAGTGTTAGCCGTAAAAGAGAAGGGGAAAGGGAACGAGAAGGAAAAGAGAAATGGACAAAGTGGAGAAGCGAGAATGGGATTGAGATGATAGAATTTCATAAATGGAATAGGAAACGGAAAAAAGGGAGAAAATGCAGACAGCAGAATGTAAGAAGTTTGAAACTGTTGAGAAAATGAGAAAGGAGAGATGATAAATGGGTACTCCATGTGACCAAGAGATTCAGAGAAAACAATTAATTGGCAAAATGAACAATTGAAGTCAACAAACCATTTGGACTTTAACAGACTCGCTCACATTTTTCGATGCAGCAGGTAAGGGAGATGCCAAGCTCGGGCCCACCATGTACTGTGGGCCCTTACCTTTACACTTCTTTACTTTTTTATCCTCCACCTGTGTCAATCTGCGTGCACCAGCTGCCACATTCAGCATGTTATGAACGGACAAGTATACTGTATACCTACCAGTAAAACGCCTTTTGGGCGAAGAACGAGCGAGCGAGATAGTGAGCCCTGCACGTGCAGAAGGGCGAGAGGGTACTTCCAACGGGCTTGTGCAAAGCACCCTTCTAACCGGTCGCTAGCGGTGTACCAAATTTGAACGCAATCGGCCCAGCCGTTCCTGAGATCTGGAAGCGGCATTCTGCACGTGCGCACGTGCAAACGGGGTCCAAAATGACTTTTGCACGGCACCCTACTAACCGGTCCCCAACCGTGTACCAAATTTGAGCGCAATCGGCCCAGCCGTTCTCGAGATCTGGAAACGCCCCCTGCACGTGCGCACGTGCAGTAGCACCCTAACCGCAACACATGGGAATGCATTGCCTGGTGGGTGCCTACCTGTATGCCAAGTTTCAGCGAAATCGCCCCAGTAATTACCGAGTTACTCAAATGGGAACAAATTTGGCACCTCTTATTGTTGTATTTTGCACGTGCAGTGGGGGTCACTCACATAGATGAAGAGTATCCGACCTTTGGTAGAAGGGATGCAGCTACCCTATAAAAATGACCGCAAGACAATCGCTCAAGCCGCTGCTGAGATATGGGCCTCTCAAAATAATTACTTTTGCAAAACTGCTTGAACACCCTTGACTTTTCACGTGGCACGTGCCACGGCGGTCACTGAGATGCATCAAAAGTAGTCAATTAAGGGGTAGAAGGGATGGGGCTACCCAGCAAAAAAGACCGCAGGCCATTCGGTCCAGCGGTTGCTGAGATATAAGCCTCTCAAAAGCGTTACAGGCCGGGCCGGGCCGGGCCGCTCATACTGAGATTTTTCCGTTATATTGAAAAGACTTCGCTTCGCTCGCTGCGCTCGCTCGCTCGTAATTACCACTGCCAGTCATTGTCGGCATCAGGAAATACGCAGGGAATATGTGCTCAATCCTAAACCTCGAGAAACACGAGCACTCTTAAGCAATTCAAAAGTGCGAAGTTGAGGCACGGTTCAAGTTTGTCTGTCTCTCAGCCCGCATTATTTCATATTGAATGTGTTGGCGAAACACAGCTCACTGCCAGATACAACTCAGTTATTGGAGGATCTATATGTTGTCGGGTTGATGATCGGCTTCTATCAGCTCGGCAACAAACCGTCCATCTTTCAGTCCGTCCGTCTGTCCGTCTGTCCGTCCGTCTGTCTGTCCGTCTACCCGTCCTTCCGTCTGTCCGTCTGTCCGTCTGTCCGTCTGTCCGTCTGTCCGTCTGTCCGTCTGTCCGTCTGTCCGTCTGTCCGTCTGTCTGTCCGTCCGTCGGCCAATGCGTCGCGTCAGGTCAAGTGAACTCTACTGGACCAGTTTCCCCACAGAGTGTTGAATGTTGATTGCGGCCACCGGTGGCAGGTTTGCTGGCTAGAGCTTGTCACCATGCTAAACCGGTTTTGGGACACCGTCTCCTTTAGCAGCCACCGTTGGCGACCCTTCCCCACCGACAGCCTGACAGGCCAGCCGTCCGAGTTATACCCACGGCTGGTGTAGCTGGGAATATGGCAGTTTTACATCAAAACCACTCGCGGTGCCATGTCGAGCGTTGTCCAGATATGTGACGCAAGCTAGCTGTAAATCGATTTTTTCCGATAGCATATACTGCTACAAGCAAAAATGGGGCTATGAACGTGGCCACTGCAAAACGACAGCTGACATTTTCATGATAACAACAATAAACGGAGCAATAACATCTTCTTCATGACAGCTGACTTGTTGAGCCTATGCATATGTAGGTGGAACCCAGGGTATATTGAGTGAAGGTGGAGCCAATCTGATTGGAATCGGGAGTCGATTCGTCAGTCGTGCCATTCCGCTGAGTCAGGTCATCCAATCCCTGTGATAAGAAGTTCACTTCCGCTGTGATAAAACCTGATACCCCCACTGTCTCTTGTCGGCTCCGAAGCAGCAAATCGAGCGGTCACCCGCAGCAAGCGGCACCTCTGATCCTCCTCCCCCCCCCCCTCGTGGCGTTCACTCGCACAAACACCGCGAGCCAGCGCCGAATTTCTCCCAACAACTATCGGCCGGCCGCGCGCGGCGGAGCCGGTCACTGT